CTACATATTCTTTTGGGGACTTTATTTTCAAATGAACATAGAACAACATAGAGTGCAGTTACACAAGAGTGATCATAAAGGAACCAGACCTTATGTTTCTGAGCCTGCAAAACTAGAAATGGCTAACCTGAAAAAAAATGGAGGCACAAGCCAGGCTTTTAATATCTGAAACGCTGGCTGTCATTATGGTGTGCAGCTAAGTATGTTCTGTATAGACACAAGGCTGGAACCAAAACCAATTAACGAAAACAAAAAACGGCTTTCTAAAAGACAAAGTGATCTCAAGATGGAATGGGCTGCCTTGAGAGGTAAGGAAGTTCCCATCACTGGTAAAGTCAACAGTAGTTAGAGCACACCTTCTTTTGGCTAATGAAATTAGAATTTTCTTGTATATTTTGTAACAAATTAAATGAACTGAATTCCATAAACCTGATAACAAGTGGACTTCGGGTAATCTTGCAAAGAGGTAGCTAGACCACTGGGTGCAGCAGGGCTGAGGGATGGCCAGAGAGGACGGAAGAAGTAGAAGTCTACATTCAAGGGTGTGCCTTATTAAAAGCCTGATTTTTTAAAAACAGCTTTAAGATGTAATTGACATTATTTTTTATCTTTATTATTATTATTTTGTTTCCTGTTCCTGCAGATAACTGACATTTTAAAAACACTACATATATTTGAGCCAGGCCAAGTAAGCCACAACCTGTAATCCCAGCACTTAGGGAGATTGAGGTGGGAGGATTACTTGAGGCTAGGAGACCCAGTCCAGCCTGGGCAACACAGGGAGACCCCATCTCTCCTAAAAAATGCAAAAAACCAGCCAGGCATGGTGGTGCACACTTACAGTCCCAGCTACTCGACAGGCTGAGCTAGGAGGATCACTTGAGCACAGAAGATGGAGGCTGCAGTGAGAACCATGATCACACCACTGCACCCCAGCTTGGGCGACAGAGTGAGCCCCTATCTCAAAACAAAACAAACAAAACCCCCAAACTACACGTACTTAAGAGGTACAATCTGATAAGTTTAACCTTTGTCCTGGAAACGTGGAATCTAGAAAAGTTGAACTCAGAGTAAAATGCTGGTTACTAGAGGCTGGAGAATGGGGGGATTGGGGAGACATTGATCAAACAGCACAAAATTTCAGTTAAGCGGGAGGAATAAGTTCAAGGGATCTATTGTACATTGTGGTGAATACAGCTGATAACAATATATTGTGTACTTGAAAATTGCTGAGAGACTTTATTCTCACCAAAAAAAGATATATACGTGGGTTAACTCACACATTAATTAGCTTGCATAGCCCTTCCACATTTACATACACACACATACACACACACGCACACACACACACACACACACGTTGTACACTGTAAATATATAAAATACACAATTTTTGTCAATTAAATTTGAAAATATAAACAATACTGTAAAACATGTTGTATAGATTGATCTTGAATATGACTGATTTATTTTCTTCAAGTCAGACAGTTTAAAAGGCCAAAATTGTAAAACATTAAACAAAAATATTGTCCTCACTTTCTTGCTAGGTATGTCCTTGGTGATATAGGGCTGGGCTCACAAAAGAGCACTGTCAACACCATCATTAATAGATTCAGGAAAAGATGCCGTGTGACATAATGTTTTTTAAAATCTATATCACCAATTATTACATCAGACATTATAGCTGGTCTTCACTTGAAATGGTACTTCATAGGCATGTTCCTCAACTTTACTGATAGCTAAATTTATGGAATACTGTACTTTCTGAATACAGCCCAAAGATTTGCTCTTTGATAAGCTGTGTCAAGACGAGGTTTTTTTGTTTTGTTTTGTTTGTTTGTTTTATATCCCCAGAGTTCCCTTGGCTGTTTTAAGTCCCACAGACTGGTTGACTATGTGAATTAAAAATAATTTTTGTCATCTAGAAAGCCAGCTGAGGGGCACTGATCAACCAGGTAATGTTTCCAGTGCCTTGTCACAGATGGAACCCAACCTCTCTTGGTTAAAGAAGTGACCCGTCTGAATCTGGAAACCATCATTCTCAGCAATCTGACACAAGAACAGAAAGCCAAACACCATATGTTCTCACTCATAGGTGGGTGTTGAACGAGAACACGTGGACTCAGGGAGAGCATCACACACAGGGGGCAGTTGGGGAGGGGGGAAGAGCAGGGAGGGGGTGTGGAGGGAGGAAGGGGAGGGATAACATGGGGAGAAATGCCAGATATAGTATGCACCTGAAGTAAAATAACTAAATAAATTTGAAAAAAAAGAAGTGACCAGTCTGAGAGGAAAGCATTACACAGACCCACACAATATATCAGAAATGAACAAGAGTCCTTCCAGCACTACATTCCCCATTCTAATACTCCCAGCTGATTCTCCAGTATCCTATTGTCCTCTTTAAGATAGCTTGTTTCTCTTCCTTGCAATTAAGTCTTAGTACATAAGAAAAATGAGTAAAAGATTTGGACGAACGTGCATTAGTGCTTGATACTTTTAAGCAGACTAGAAACGCATTGTTCCAACAACAAATTACAGCCTTCCCTTATCCCAAATCTGGGTTTAGGTGTTGCTCCTACAGCAGAGACTTTGCTTTGTTTGTGTGTATTCACCAGACTTTAAGTTCCACCTGGACAGATGCCGTATTTTTCTTGCTCATTCTGATGTAATCCAGTATCTGGCACATGCCTTCCTTTGAATAAATAAAAGTGTATTTATTACTATGTTCAAAAACTGATCTGCACCAGAAAATAGCTGCACATAATAGAAACAACTGCTCTGCTATTCAGAGCAAAATTCAAGCAAAAAAAAAAAAATTTTTTTTCTTCCAACTTCACACTTCAGAAATGTACTATTTACTGAGCACCTAAGTTACTTCTAACTAAATTCAAGTAAACAATCACAGTATAATCATTCTAAACAAATTATATAGGATTTCATTTTAATTTTATAAATAGGATGTCTTCTTTATAAATTTTTGTCAGAGATGAGCTGCTCAGATCTCAAGAAAGGACTCTCGCTAACCAGCTGTAAGGACTTGCTACCCAGCTGTGGCTAGCTGATAGCCCTGTTATTGGCTTTGTTGGAGTTTACCTCAACTTTCTAGCCAGGTGAAGTGGTCTTCAGCCAATGACCTGACAATGCAGTGGGACAGGGGTCTAGCCATTTCTCCCCAACAACTGACAGGGAGTCTGCTCTGGAGCTCCCACTGGGCTGACAGCAACCGTGTCAACTCTCTCTCACTTTCTGACAGTTTCCCCTAATTCTGCACCCTTCCTTCTTCTTTGGCTGTGGAGTTCTGCTCTACTACAACATTCTGCTCTTCTAGCTACACTTTAGTATCCTCTCCCTGGGGGATCTTTCCTGTGACAAAATCAAAGATTTATTTCCAACTTTGTCCAAATTTATTCTCTCACCTATTTAACCTCTTTTACATTACTTGCTTGGCAGGCTTTCCCTCAGACTGTGACATTTTGGTTTCATGTCACCAAAACATTTTAAACCTAGTACAATGATTTTGTTTCTTCACATAATCATTGTACTTTTACCAGCAAAACACTTTACATATTGATTTAAAATAGTTTCTATATTTTAAAATATAATTGTTTTACATTTATTTCACTGTATTTGGTAAAGCTACATTTATTATCCCCCAAAAAAGCCTTAAGAGCTTTTAAACAGAAAAGACATAACAAACTTTAACAGCATCATCTTGTGGTACTTAAATAGGAACTGTTCCCTACTCAATCAATGACAAAAAGCAGACTTTTGAGACCATAATCACCTATGAGTTAGTTCCTGTCCATCTAGTTTGAACGAGGTTTTAATTTTTTTTTTTTTTTTTTTGAGACAAAGTTTCGCTCTTGTTACCCAGGCTGGAGTGCAATGGCGCGATCTCGGCTCACCACAACCTCCGCCTCCTGGGTTCAAGCAATTCTCCTGCCTCAGCCTCCTGAGTAGCTGGGATTACAGGCACGCACCACCATGCCCAGCTAATTTTTTGTATTTTTTGTAGAGACGGGGTTTCACCATGTTGACTAGGATGGTCTCGATCTCCTGACCTTGTGATCCACCCGCCTCGGCCTCCCAAAGTGCTGGGATTACAGGCTTGAGCCACCGCGCCCGGCCTGAACGAGGTTTTAAAATACAGCAAATGACAAAAAATAAAATAAAATAAAATAAAATAAAATAAAATAAAGGTTCTTACTACTGAATCAAGCATTTTAAGTTGGTAAGTACATACAGGTCCTGTTTTCCTTTCTCAAGTCTTGGAATATAGCAACCCTTTTTCTCCATCTCTCTAATTATTCTCTAGAATACAGACCTTCATTTGCCTTGCTTTTTTTCCCCTTTGTTGCACTTATTAGTATCTGACACTTTAAAACATTTTAGGTCTACTGACTCATTTCCCCCACAACAATGTAAGCTCTATAAGGGCACAGCCTTTATTCATTTTACTCACCATGACATCCTCAGTGCTGCCTAGCATGAAAAAGGTACTCAGAACTTTCTGAATAAATGAATAAGTCTTTTTTTTTTTTTTTTTTTTACTTAAAAAATGGTTAGAATTAAATCAGCCTTGGAATAAGCAGGAAAAAAGCCTATTTGAGAGGAAATTTCACTATAAACTTGAAGACCTTAGGAAAGAATGGATTGAGCCATCAGAGAAGTGAAGCCCTCGGCCAGTGAGGAAGAACCGAAAGGCCTGGACTGAAGAAATTAAGACCAGACTGGTCCAGAGGATGTTTTTACATGTGCTCAAAATGTGTCATCTACTGAAAATGAACATCTGAAGGGAACTTTCAACCGCACATTCACATTTACTACTCTGACATAGATACTCAGTCTGTGCTTGAATATGTGCAAGGATATAAAGATGCTACCTCTCAAAGCATCCTGCCAATTATATAGTAGCTACAGAAAGTCGTAAGATGGGACTAGCTGATTAACAGACCAAAAACTTAACACTGTCAGTTAAAAACCAAATATAAAAGGTATTAATTAGAAAAAGTATTTATTTCTGCTCCTTTCATACATCTTATTGTTCAGGAAACAGTCTTACATACATATCTGAAATAATCTACCATCACACACTCTAGTTAAAGGCAAAGCACCATAGGTAAAGCTGATCAGCTGTCCAGAGTTCTCAGCTTATGGAATCTTGCTTCTTGATTTTATGTTAATTTTTGAAAATCAGAATGTCATTTCCAAAAAATGTTAAGGGAGTTGTAAAAAATAATCACTTTACTTGGTATTATAGTTGTAGATACGGAGTATATTTTCTTTAAGAAATGAAAAACTAAGAATAAAATGCCACTCAACATCATTGGTATAGCAGGTCAGCAGGAAAAAAAAAAATACTGTGATCAACTTGTCTCTTTAAACCAAGAAGGAATTCTAGTCCAAGTTTCAATATACTTCCTGCTTATTCACTAGATATTTCTTTTACTGCTGCTCTTCATTCTTTTCCACATTTCACATTAGAGGATTGGTACAGCCTTTAAACTTCCTTGACAGGAGCAAATCCAGTATCCACTGATTTCTTCTCAAAGGCACTCTAACCCATCAGATAGCCCCTGCAGAAATAAAGTACAAAAAGTGAAAAGGAAGCAACGTTTCAAAATGCCAAAACAAATTTTATGATGTATCAACTGACAATCCAAAAATATAACTACATGATTCTTCATTATGGTCCTTATTTCATATCTGGCCCCCCTCACCCCAATATACAAATAAATTACTAAGCCTTGATTTTACTACCCTTCCCTCTTTTTTTTTTTTTTTTTTTTGGGACTAAGTTTCACTCTTGCCACCCAGGCTGGAGTGCAATGGCGTGATCTCAGCTCACTGCAACCTCTACCTCCCTGGTTCAAGCGGTTCCTGCCTCAGCCTCCCAAGTAGCTGGGATTACAGGTGCCTACCACCATGCCCAGCTTTTAGTAGAGACAATGTTTCACCATGTTGGCTAGGCTGGTCTGAAATTCCTGACCTCAGTCGATCAGCTGGCCTCAGCCTCTCAAAGTGCTGGGATTACAAGCCTGAGGCGTAGCAAAGTTTTTTATTTTTTATTTTTTTCTTTTGAGATAGAGTTTCGCTTTTGTTGCCCAGGCTGCAGTGTAATGGCGCGATCTCGGCTCACTGCAACCTCCATCTCCCAGGTTCAAGCGATTCTCCTGCCTCAGCCTCCCGAGTAGCTGGAATTTAGGCACCCACCACCATACCTGGCTAATTTTTGTATTTTTAGTAGAGACGGGGTTTCACCATGTTGGCCAAGCTGGTCTTGAACACCTCCCCATCACCCCCCAGATAATCCACCCACCTCAGCCTCCCAAAGTGCTGGGATTACAGGCATGACCCACCACACCTTGCCCTTCCCTCTTAAAGTTACAAAGCAATATGCTAAATAACACAGAATAAGAAGAGGAAGGAAAGAAAAGAAAATGGTATCTAAAAGTTAAAGTTAAGAGCCAAAATCAATCTACTTTGGGCTCTCAGAAGTACAACAAAAATCAAACTATTTTTTATGGGAAGAAACTGGTTTGGATTTCTAAAAACCCTAATATTACCAGAAGAGAAGTGGGAAAATCAGAAGCCATTCAGGCCTGGAAGGTGAGCCTTTGAGACTTCAAAAAACAGTGTGCACAAACATCTGCCCCTGAACCTCTAATACTTTAGGAAATGTCTGGATAAGAGTTGGGAGCTGGCCGGGCGCGGTGGCTCAAGCCTGTAATCCCAGCACTTTGGGAGGCCGAGACGGGTGGATCACAAGGTCAAGAGATCGAGACCATCCTGGTCAACATGGTGAAACCCCGTCTCTACTAAAAATACAAAAAATTAGCTGGGCATGGTGGCGCGTGCCTGTAATCCCAGCTACTCAGGAGGCTGAGGCAGGAGAATTGCCTGAACCCAGGAGGCGGAGGTTGTGGTGAGCCGAGATCGCGCCATTGCACTCCAGCCTGTGTAACGAGACCGAAACTCAGTCTCAAAAAAAAAAAAAAAAAAAAAATTTAGGAGCTTTAGTTGTACCTGCTGGTAAGGTCAAACTTCATGCTGGTCAAATAGGAGATCCTTTATTAAATGTGCACGTTAGGCCCTGAAATCCCCTTTAAATTAAAGCATTAAATCTGGTATTACGAAAGTTCCAAACCTTTCCTTTGGCAATAAACCCTTAAAGTCCATTATTAATTAAGGATCTGCAGGATCAGGAAAAATTGGAAAAATTATGTACAAGTATCCACATTAAGAAAGGGTTTTTACTGGGTCAGACACAGCGGCTCATGCCTGTAATCCCAGCACTTTGGGAGGGCAAGGTGGCTGGATCACCAGGTCAGGAGTTTGAGACCAGCCTGGCCAACACAGCAAAACCTTGTCTCTACTAAAACTACAAAAATTAGCTGGGTGTGGTGGCAGACGCCAGTAATCCCAGCTACTTGGGAGGCTGAGCCAGGAGAATCGCTTGAAACCAGGAAGCGGATATTGCAGTGAGCCGAGATCACACCTTTGCATTCCAGCCTGGGCAACAAGAGCAAAACTCCGTCTCAAAACAAAAGGCGGGGGTCGGGGGGTGGGGGTCGGGGGGGAGGGGGGCGGTTACTATACCCTAAACTCACCTACAGCTTCTTCAGAACACCTCTCCGTTTGACCCTGCTTCTACCACTTACTGCATGAGCCTGGGCAAACCTCACTCAGTTTCCTCATCTGTAAAATGGAGTTACCTCAAAGGGTTTTAAGGATTATAAGGGCATCTACTCATACAGTACTAGCTACTCATAGTTATAACTAAAATGTTAGCTGCTATTTTTAGAGTACCAAGTTTCTTCACTGGTAACATAGGGTTTAAAAACTACTTGATAATACTGAGGTCTCCTCCAGTGTTTGGCACACAGCAAACACTCAAGAATATGAGTTTCCTCCCTCTCAGCTTCTGAACTCACTTGACTCCCTACACAACTTAGACTTATGTTCAGCCAATGCAATCAACCTAGAACTCAAACCTTTTCTTTCTGTTGTATCAGCCTGGCCAATCCATACTCTGAGGAAAGAGAACTTTCATCTACCACAACCACCTTTACAACTCGCTACTTCTCACCTCCTCCCAACTCCAAAACTGAACAAAAATTACAAAATAAAAAGGTTCTCTAAAAACTTTTTATATACACTGACTTTAAAGACCTCACATAAATTTGCTACCGTAATGCCTGATATGTCACAAAAAGGATACTTTAAAGCATAAGCTTCACACACACACAAAAAGGTTCAAAAAGATTTTAAGCAAGTATCCACTAATATCTGCACTCTATAGTAGAAGGTACCTAACAGTTAGCTTACACTATGAAACAAGGGTATTAAGGAGTAACTTCCTGTCATGTGCATACTTCTATATATGAATATACACTTTGTACTCTATCTCTTAATTCAGTCATATATTATAGTATCCTTCCTTGTAACTAGTGGGTGACCTATGCTTGTCAACCTATATGTACAGAGAAAAGAATATTTAAATACACATGTCCTGTTCAAAGCTGCCAAACTTAAAACCTTAAGGAAAATTTTAGAGGTACCAAAAAATATTATAATGCTATAAAGATAGCATGTTAGAAAAAAGAAAAGAACAAGTAAATTACTATAATTCTTGGTAGGGAATAAAAATAAAATGGCTGAAATACACTTATTATATTACAATCATTAGCTCCCTCTCATTGACCCAGAAAATTTCATAATCTTATATTCAGGCTTGTGAGAATTTTACAAAAGTAAAATTGTAGATAAATACAATAAAAAGTAAATCAAGAACTCAAAAACCAACTAGAGACAGGAGAAGCCATCATGAAGGATCTTCTATTTAATCTTTATTTTAAGGCCATTCTTTCAATAATCACTCAGTGCCTTCTGTAAATGAAGGCAAGCACTGTGCTAGGTAATAGTACTAACAGAGATTTCTCAAAACACTATCACATGAATTACTGCATTTAACCCTTGCAACAATCTTAAAAAAGTGTGTGAAACAGGGATTAGTCTCATTTTACAGTTGAAGAGTGTGACAGCAATTGAGTGGTTTGCTCAAAATCACAAGGCCAGAAAATAACAGAACCAGCATTAAAACACAAGTCTCCTCACTGCTGGTCTACTACCTATTCCAATGGTCTGAGAAATGGAAACCTCACTTTCTTCTTTTAGAAACAGTAGTGGTTTATTCATGTATTTTTGAAACTGTGGTCATAATCTAACTTGAAACACAGAACTTTTAGGACTCTGGAATGAAAACACTGATATTGATTAACACTTAAATTATGCTTGACTGCATACCTTCTCATTTAATCTTGACAACTGTAACTCCCCAAGCTATATTATTAATACTTCATTTAACAGGTTTGGAACCTGAGGCCAAGAGAGTTCACAGAACTAATTCAAAGTCTCAGAGTTAATAAGTGGCAGCCCAAAACTGAAAAGTAGTACTATGTATAACAGAAATGTAAAATGATCCTTAGTCAAGGTTAAATTATGCTTAATCTCACAGTGTCCAGTAAATAATAGGTATCAAATAATAAATATTTGCTGTATACAAATTTGAGTGTTAACGTGTAATACAATAAATGCTTTAGAAAGAGGTCTGCCAAAAATGAATAAATGATTTAGTATTTATAGAGCTAAATTTCAATTACATGAAATCACATATATGTATCATATCATTCCCTAAATGATGTTAGTTTAAATATTATTATATTCGTATTTTTTATTCTTTTCTCCCTTTTAGAGAACTTGTTTTCCGAACATGATCTCAGGATTTATCCAGAAGCTGCTTAGCTTTTCTTCTCAAGCTTAACAAACACTAGGTGAAATTGCTAAAAGGCCAGCTGGAATAAGGCAGGCCTTTTGTCCTCAATTATATGATAGTATGTATTTCAAGCAGTTTTAGACAGCTTTATAACAGACTTGCCTGAATGTAGGAACCCATCCCTCCTTCTCCAACTGAACACCTTGCCTAATTTTAGAGCATTACCATGCCACCACAGGCCACCTTTTATTTATTTATTTTTTTTAATTTTTAAGACTCTGCTTTTGGTTGGGCATGGTGGCAGGTGCCTGTAATCCCAGCAACTCAGGAGGCTCAGGCAGGAGAATTGTTTGAACCTGGGAGGCGGAGGCTGCAGTGAGCTGAGATCATTCCATTGCACTCCAGTCTGGGTGACAGAGCAAGTCTCCATCTCAAAAAAAAAACAAAAACAAAGATTCTGCTTTTAAGTTAAAGCTGCCCTGAGAGTGGCAGCTAAAGACAATCTGATGACGATTCATTGTTTTTCAATAACTTCTTTATCCTCCCTGGGAATCTCCTCTTTTCTTGCTCTGCTAATGAAAACTTCAGTCTCTTCTATACCAGTACAACTTACCATGCTATGGTGACTTACTTCCACTAGGAGCAGAAAAACAAGGAACAAAAAGAAGAGGCTGGAGTACCTTAGTCTTCATACAACTTAGCTAACGGCCAGAAATGCTTTCCCCAAATGAAAATAAGAGCTGCTGCCAGAGAAAACTGAGGCAGCTATATGGACACACAGATATTCAGCTGACAAAGAACTCCACACTCTCCCTCCCATCCTGCCAGCACTAAAATGAGAACGAGATGATTGTGGGATAAGTACTTTTGCCCATTCTACTCCAGGTGTGTTATAGAAAATGGACAGGTTAAGTCATAAAACAAGTGAATTTGTAAAACTCAAACACACTAAGAATCAGAATAGTTGACACTTGATGTTTAACACAGTCCCTAAACAAGAAAATACTAAGACCTAATCTTTGGACTATGCTTGCCCAAATTTCCTGTTGTTACTGTAGTTACTAATATACCCACAGATTAAATCAGAATATATAGAAATGTGATTATATCTGTTTATATTTCAAGTAAATAATCATAAACAGAATTATAAAAGATGCCATAAGCCAATTTATTTTTCTTCTACAGATACTGAAAGTTTTCTGAATAAAAATAATATTTAAATACACTTTAAACACACACACATACACACACACATATATAAACACTCTTTTCCCATCTTTTTTAAGAGCAATAACTCTCCTTTCCCATGCAAGGCATAATGGGTTTTCTTCCCACCAATATTCAAAGAACAGCAACAATGAATGATTTGACACCATTCCCTACCATTATTACTACTAGAATCCTGTGTTACAGATTAGCCAAAAGGCATTTTAAAGAAACAATGACTATCTTCAGTCATTGATGCCAGGACAACGTAACTAAATTTTCTCATGAAACTTCATGGCTATAACAACTAAGAAGATCTACTGGCTTCCATTTTATAACTACAGTTATACCCTTGACCAAGTCACAGATACATTTGGTTTCTGGATTTTTCATCTGTGTAAATGAAAGTTAAATTAAATCTTCTATGACTTTATGTTTTCCAGGTAATCATTTTATCAGTTTGCTTCATAAGTTGCTGATTACACAAATAACTTACGGCAGTTTCATTCTCATGAATACTCTAGCCATGAAAAAACTCAATAGAACACAGACGAATCCAATGAATAGAAGAAGAAATCTATTGAGTTTTGGGATATTTGGTGCATTCGATCGGTCCAGGATTATGAAACCTAAACCTCCCATTGTAAACAGGAAGCTGGATGCAAGTCCTTCCATAATATATTGTCCATTTACTCTGGAAAAGAAAAGAATGACCATAGGAATGACCATAGGAAGACAATAAATAGAAATGTTTCCCCTTAAGTTGAAATTCCTATTTCCATTGTGCTAAGACATTTTTGTGCTAAATTTCTTATTCTTACCCTTACAACCATTTTACTACACCTCTGGATATTCATCTGTCCATTCAACAAATATTTATTAAGTCTATTTGGTAGCAAGCACCGTTTTGGGTCCTGGGGGATACAACAATAAATAAAACAGACAAAAATCTCTGTCTTCATGGAGTTCACATTCAAAAAAAGTTGTAAAACCTCAACTAACACAATCATTTATATAAATACTCATACTTTATGTATATGAATGCTTTATCCAGAACTTTAGCTTAGCTTTTTAAAAAGTTATGCTATTTAAATTTCTACTATCAATTTCAAACTAATTTTGAATTGGTCAGATGTGTTTCTTGAAGTTTTATGTTAATAATAATAAACTTCTTGTTTCAAATGGAAATATTTTAAAAAGCAAGTGTTCTTAAGTTAAGGTTCCATGAATCCCACAAGAACTTCAGTGAGCTATAAGCCCTTATAATTATATGTAAAAGAGAGAAAGAGTGTGTGTGTGTGTGTGTGTGTGTGTGTGTGTGTGATATTTTTCTAGGGATACAGAGTTTTGATCAAATTCTCATAGTTCAGGGACCTCAGAAAGAAAATTTCTCGTTAAAGAGTCATGATTACACATAGGCATATGTGAATAGGGCTGTGTGGTTTTTTGTTTTTTTTTTTTCATTGAAAACACAACATATGCACCAAGTTCAAAATTCAAACAGTATGGAAGAGGGCACTATGAAAGGCCTCCTTAACAATCAACCTGTCATTAACTCCCCTCCACAGAGAATAACAGTAAATCTTTCCAGAAATATTCTACATATAAACATTACTGCAAATAAAAATATATGGCTATGTTTAGGTAGATATTTATCAAGTAAATTTTAGAAAGCAATATAAGCATTATTCAGAAGAACAAAACCACACTAAAATGGGGTTTCACTGCTGAAACAGAACCCTCAAGTCTCAAAAATATTTTTGTTATTTAATATTATAGTCCAGGGCATAGTTCAGAAATACTTTCTTAAATGCCCATATAGTAAATATCTTAGGCTTGCAGGCCATATGGTTTGTGTCATACTTACTCAACTTGGCCACCGTAGCTTGAAAGCAGTCGAAGATCAGATATAGCACATGGGCATGCTTACCTCCAATAAAACTTTATTTGGCGGGAAAAAAGTGGCTATAGTTCACTGACCCCCAGAACAGTCAATAAATGTTGTTTAAACTGATACCCTACTGTAAATTGGTGATACATCAATCATTATGAAATACTTTATTTCTTTATAAATAAATAATATACTCTTGCTCTTGAGAATTCAGCATTTTAAAACAGCTATTGTCTAAATACAGATGGATTCCATAGGTTTTACTTTTTTCTTTTAAGACAGAGTCTCACTCTGTCACCCAGGCTGGATGCAGTGGTGCAATCTCGGCTCACTGCAACCTCCGCCTCCCAGGTTCAAGTGATTCTCCTAACTCAGCCCCCTGAGTAGCTGGGATTACAGGCGTGTGCCACCATGCCCAGCCAATTTATGTATTTTTAGTAGAGACAGGGTTTCACCATGTTGGCCAGGATGGTCTTGATCTCTTGACCTTGTGATCTGTCTACCTTAGCCTCCCAAAGTGCTGGGATTACAGGTGTGAGCCACCATGCCCAGCCGATTTCACTCTATTTTTAAATAAGCAGGCATACTCCAGCAACTTTCCTTCCCACCACCAAATCATTCAAAAAGGTATCTTTTACCTGTAGGCCAAGAAAGCTACTGGCCTCTGATGCCCATGTTCATCAGTCATAGAGCCAACACTTGGCGGTTCAACAATAACATCATAAATTATTCCTGTAAGAAAGACAATAGAACAGATCAGATTGTATTCCTAATTTTTGAAAACAGGATTATAGTTTTCCATTGTCCCTTAAGGTTCATTTACTTTTTTTTTTTGGAGACAGAGTCTCACTCTGTCACCCAGCCTGAGTGTGCAGTTACGTGATCTTGGCTTACTGCAAACTCCATCTCCCAGGTTGAAGTAATTCTCCTGCTTCAGCCTCTGGAGTAGCTGGGACTTCAGGTGCCCTCCACCACGCCTAGCTAATTTTTGTATTTCTAATAGAGACAAGGTTTCACCATATTAGTAAGGCTCCTGACCTCAAGTGATCCACCCACCTCGGTCTACCAAAGTGCTGGGATTACAGGTGTGAGCCACTGTGTCCAGCCAAGGTTTATTTATTTTTAAATAGGAATGCTTTGATTATATTATCATAAACAAATGAGGCCCAACTAATCTAAGGTTCTGATAAATCATTCAGACATTCAACTCAATGTTTTAAAATTACTTCAAAAACAGTATGATATCTAAAAGAAATACAAATTTCATAAAGGAAATTCACCCAATAACATTTGCTAATACTCAGGACTGACTTTAGTATAAAAAACATTTAACATTAAAGGCTATACTTTAGTTCACAAAAATTGTCTTAGATACGATTAGTTTCTATAAATTGAAAAATAACTAAAGAAATTGCTTAAATGTAAAACAAGGAGACATTTTAAAACCATGCTATCAGGCAGAATGGCAATACTAGAGATTCATAATCATTAACATTAACATCCATGATTATGTCATAACGTCATCATGGTGATTAACATTAATGTTCATCAACACTAACAGTTTTCTCAATCTCTCGCTGTCAGTATCTACTCTACCTTCTCCACTGTTCTCGAACGTCTTCATCTCCAGCTTTTCGTAAGTATAACAAGCCTATCTCCCTCATTCTAGCCTGACAAAAACAATCATATAGGAATTCCCTTGTCTTCTCCCCAGCAATCTACAAATACCTGGTACCTGCATCCAGCCTCACCTCCTCCTTTCTAGCTACACAGAGGAAGATTCACACCTCCGATTATGTGGGGTCCCTTCTGCAGCTAGCAGGAGTTCACTCCCACTTGGACTCTCAGGGACTTTATTCCTTTGGGTATCTCTCCTCTCTCCTGTATTTTCAACATCTCCTTACCTACATCAACCCTCCTTGACTTCAGATCCTCCTGGATAACATCCTATTTCTCTCTTTCCTTTTTGAAAGGAAGTCAGACTTTCTTCTAGAAAGACTTAGGCAAACTTGCCATCTCTCCTTCCTTACTTACCCTTCATTCTTTAACTCAATCCAATTTGGTTTCTGCCATTAATATTGCTCTTTCTAAGGTCACCAATGATCTCCATGTTGTCAAATTCAATGGACACTTTTCAGTTCTCATCTTAGGAGACTTCTTGGCAGCATTCGATCCAGTTTACTAAACCCAGTTCTTGAAAAACACCTCTTCTTATGGCTTTTGTGATACACCTCTTCATGTTTTCCTGCTACCTCTCTATTGGGGCTCTTCTTTTATAAAACTACTAAATGTTGGAGGCCCTCAGGGATTGGTCCACTGTCCTCTTCTATGTCTCTCAAGTGAACTCCCAGGGCTTTCAATTTTGTGTGCTAAAGACTCTCAATGTGATGTGCCAAGGTCTCTCAAATAATGCCAGTACCATTAGAATTACATGTAAGCTCCTTAAGAACAGGGACTTGGCCCATGCTCTTCAATGTTTCATGGGAGTTCCAGAAATGACTGTTAGTTGACCAACTTCATTCAACACAGGCCTCTTTTCTCAGGTCTGGATTCCTACCTGCACATTTGACATATCCAACTAATTATATCCTAAAACAACCTCTGGTGCACCATTCTCCACCAAAAACTCTGTTTCTTCAATCTTAGGAAATGATACGTCCGTCTATTCAGGTGCTCAAACCAGAAACCTGTAAGATTCCTTCCCATTTCATTCTCCCCCTAAACCCAATGAATTCAAGACCTACTGAATCTACTACCAACATATCTTCCATTTTATTATCCTAATCTCCATTGCCATAAACCTAGTATAGTCTAAGTTAACTTCAAAGGCCACCTAATTGATATCTTGGTACCATATATGTCCTGCTTTTTCCTCTGCCTAGCATATCCTTTCCCCTAGTCTTTCAGATTTTGGCTTACATATCATTTCCTCAGGAACCACACCCAGTCCAGATGATGCTTCCAACTCCCTTTATTTTCTCAAAAACCTCCTGTTCTTTCACCATATTTGTAACCACTTTTTTGTTTGTTTTTATTTTTTGAGGCAAGGTCTTGCTCTGTCACCCTGGCTGGAGTGCAGTGGCACAATCATAGCTTACTGCAGCGTTGCTTTCCCAGGCTCAGGCGATCCTACCACTTCAACCTCCTGCACCACCAAGCTTGGCTAATTTTGGGGTTTCTTGTTTTTGATACAGTCTCACTTTGTCACACAGGCTGAAGTGCAGTGGCATGATCTCGGCTCACTGCAAACATTTGCCTCCCAGGAACAAGCAACTCTCCTGCCTCAGCCTCACAAATAGCTGGGACTACAGGCGTGTATCACCACGCCTGGCAAATTTTTTGTATTTTTAGTAGAGACAGGGTTGCACCATGTTGCCCAGACTGGCCTCTAACTCCTGGTATCAAATGATCCACCTGCCTTAGGCTCCCAAAGTGCTGGATTACAGGTGTGAGCCACTGTGCGCAGCCCATTTTTGTGGCCATTTTTAATGGACAAAGAAATTATGTGACATTTAATGTGTCTTAACTATGGCATTACAAGCTTCAGGAGGTCAAGGTCCTTATGTTTTGTTCAATTATCTCCAGTACCTAGTGCCTGGAACTTAACAGGGACTCAGTATCTATTTGCTATTTGTCAGCAATAAATATCGTTTATTTATAAAGGTGCGCTCAGTTTTTAGAAGAAACTTCTTCCCTTCCAGTGGCAAAGCCAAATCATCATATAAGATACCTGATAGACCTGGCCACTAAAAAGCATCCTTTCCACTTTCCATCAAGGTTAGGACAAAGAATCTCCCCATTACAATAATCAACAGAGAAAAAAAGAGGGCAACAAAGAAAACAGGCTTCTCACAAAGGATCCGACTCCAAGGGAAGTAAAGGTTACAAAAAAGAAACTAGCATTATTCATTATTATTATTGAATAATGACTTTTTTTTTTTTGGTCTAATGACCTACATGAACTGTGAACTGTGCAAAATATGGAACACTTCACAAATTAGCAAGTCATGCTTGCATGGGAGCCATGGTAATCTTCTCTGTATCATTCAAATTTTAGTTTAAGTGCTGCCAAAGCGAGCACTCAATAATAATATTAAATTATTCTACATTATTTTTAAAACTCTATTTTTTTTGAGACGAAATCTCACTCTGTCGCCCAGCTTGGAGTGTGGTGGTGTGATCTCGGCTCACTGCAATTTCCTCCTCCCGGGTTCAAGCGATGCTCCTGCCTCAGCCTCCCGAGTAGCTGGGATTACAGGCACCTGCCACTATGCCTGGCTAATTTTTTGTATTTTTAGTAGAGACCGGGTTTCACCATGTTGGGCAGGCTGTTCTCGAACTGACCTCGTGATCCACCCGCCTTGGACTTCCAAAGTGCTAGGATTACAGGTGTGAACCACCGCACCCAGCCACAACTCTACTATTTTTTAAAAGCCACATGCATTTTAAATTTTGTTTATTCAGTACAGTACCTATTAATTTGCTAAGCAAATGTTAATGCTAATGCAATGCTAGATAGTATCTTGTTAACAAAAAGTATTTAAAAGTAACTCAGATATTTTAACGTAATTTATTTAAATGAACGTAAGTTAATTCTCACTATTCTAGATTGGGGGAAGGCGGTAAATTCAAAGGTGCCTTCTAGAACTCAGCTCTCTCAGTTTGAATCCTCCCCCTTCAAGTGTCTACTATTCTCACAAAACATCTATGAAAATAACAATTATATGGCCACTCCCTTAAAAGCAGAATTACTTTTGCTATCCCAAATCCATAGCTTTAATTTTATAATTTCCAACTACACCACTTCCCCAAATCTAAATTAATTTTATAATTTCCAAGTTAAGTACATCTAAACGTACAGTAGCACAGCTCTAAGATCTTGGAACTGTGGTCTGAAAGGGTAGTGGCTCTGAAAAGACTGTAGCCGGATTGCCAACTCACCAGTACATAAGGCAACGCCCCTTTGCAATTTTCTATCTGAAAAGGACAGAATAAGATGATAGATAATTCATAAGCATTTAATAGTAATGCTATTTATCTTACTTTTTTACTCCTCCTCTGCCCACTGAAATACAGTATCGTCTGCAAATCTCATCTCCAATCTCAAATACTTATCAAACCTGTGATTTTCAGAAAATTCCATTCATATTTATTGTAGATCGTGCAAAAAGCAACATAGGACCGTTGGTCGTGCAAAAAGCAACATAGGACCGTTGGTTTGAGCCAACAAATCTAAAGACTGTAAAGTTTCTTCCACGGTTCCCAGACAAAGTCAAGTTTAAAAGTTCCACAAGCTCTTGACCAACCATGGAAGCGGAGCTGGCCAAACTAGACTTTCCCAGGACCTTTGTTAAACAACGTATGGCAAGCGATACAAAGCAACAATTTAGGCTTGAAAAATATATTTGACTCAGATCCCTGGGATAGGGGACTAGAAGGAGAGGAAAAGCAATAGAAGTGACAACACGAATTCTCTCAAGACAAAGGACAGGGCATGAGGGCGAATAAACTTGGACGTTAACACTCCGAACCCCAGAACTCCCTTCACCCTCAGAAAAGATCCAAAGCAGAGCGATCCTTCACCCGCCGCTGAGAGTCAGCGGAACAGACCCGCCTCCCGGGGCTGGTCAGTTCTCCGCGCCTCAGCCTCTCGGGCCCGCCCGAGTTACCTCCGGTGATGAGGAAGTAAGACACCACCACCAGAGCATACACAGTCATGGCCGACGGCATGTGCAGCCAGGGCGGCTTCTTCAGCTTCAGGTTGGGACATTCCAGCACTAAGAACGGGACACGGTACAAAGTCTCCATGTTGGTGGCAGCAAAGCGGCCTCAAACCCCACGCGCCACCCGGAAACAGGTCCGCCCTCCCTAACAACTGCGCGTGCGCGGGGAAAGGACCCGCAGATCCGTAAAACTCGGAGGTGGTTTCCATACTTACAGAAAAAAAACAAGAAACTAAATAAAACAACAAATAATATAACTAAGTGGCATAAGTTATTTATTTTAATTAAACTTAAGTTGTGACAATATGCTCTACTTTTTTCTAACGGATAAAAGGTGATTTATGTACCTTGAAGGACCTGCAGGACTTCTAACGTGGCCAAGCTAGAGAAGCGGAGGTCGACAAATCTAGTTGAGCCCCTCCCACTCGCTGACGCAGGAAATTTGGAAGTTGATTGGACAGGAGACGCTTTGGTTCCCAGAAAGGGAGAATGAATGGGAACTTTTGTGTAGAAATGTCTTTCACCGTTTTTTTTTTTTTTTTTTTTTTTTTTTTTTGAAGGGATAGGGAAAGCCAGAGGCTGCTGAGCTTTTACTTCACGAAGTAGTCATGGTAATAATAAGACTTCATAATAAGAATAATTGCTAAAGTAATATATTATCTTTTTTTCAGACGGAGCGCTCTTTGGCCCAGGCTGGAGTGAGATGGCGCGATCTCGGTTCACTGCAACCTCAGCTCACTGCAACCTCCGCCTTCCGGTTTCAAGCGATTCTCCTCCCTCAGCCTCCTGAGTAGCTGGGATTACAGGCACAGGCCACCACGCCCAACTAATTTTTGTATTTTTAGTAGAGAAGGGATTTCACCATGTTGGCCAGCCTGGTCTTGAACTCCTGACCTCGTGATCCGCCCGCCGGTGCCTCCCAAAGTGCTGGGATTAAAGGCATGAGCCACCGCGCCTGGCCTATTACCAATTAAAAAAAAAAAAAAAAAATCCAGCCTGGATCACAGATGTCAACAGGGCATCTCGCCAGGGATGCCTTAATGCCGATAGCTTGGCATGACCAAAATAGTACTTTGAATAACTCATCCTCTCAGTTTTGCTCTTCCCTTGGTCATCTGTATGTCAGTAAATGGTAAAATCACTGGCCAAAAATCTTAGTCATCTGGATTTCTCTCCTTACTAACCTTCTGCGTCCAAAATATTAGCACGTCTCTTTGGCTGTACTACCAAAATATCTCCAATTCATCTGCTCCTCACCATTCCACCAATAGCACCCTAGTGTGAACCACCACCATCTCTGGTCTGGGCAACATTTACAATCTAAATGGATGAAAATATATGATGGAGAGTTAGTCATTAGAGATGGACTAGAAGTTCTAAAAGATGTTTTGTTTTCTGTTTTGCTTTTTTTATATACAATCTTTTAAGACTACAAATGTTAACTTCCTTTTGGAGCAAGAGTTAAGAGTCACTGATTACATAAATCCAGAGCATACTGACACATTATAAAGCCAATGTTTTTATATTTTTTTATTTGCTTGTTGCTAAGCCAGTAGTTTTTTTTTTTTTTTTAAACAGGATGCCATGTATTGGTTCTGTACTTCTAATTAGCTCACAACTCAATTGTTGAGAAATGGTTTGAAGACCATAATGAAAATACTATCAAAACATTGTAGTATCCAATTCTTCGCTCTTGTTACCCAGGCTGGAGTGCAATGGCGTGATCTCGGCTCACCGCAACCTCCGCCTCCTGGGCTCAGGCAATTCTCCTGCCTCAGCCTCCTGAGTAGCTGGGATTACAGGCACGTGCCACCATGCCCAGCTAATTTTTTGTATCTTTAGTAGAGACGGGGTTTCACCATGTTGACCAGGATGGTCTCGATCTCTCGACCTCGTGATCCACCCGCCTCAGCCTCCCAAAGTGCTGGGATTACAGGCTTGAGCCACCGCGCCCGGCTTGTAGTATCCAATTCTAAGCACAGATGAGGCTTGCTGCCCTTACTGTTCATTAGTAAGAGTCTCCCCCAGAGTCTTGTTACCTATGTATTAACGGAGCTACACGAATCTTAGCTTATGTAGAAGCCAATGATAACACCAATAATGAATGCATTTACACCAGAACCAGCGTTTATACGTAGGAAGTTTCTCTGGGCACTGTAAAGCAGAATGTTACTGAAATTCCCACGGTCCTATAAATAAGGAACACTTTGGAACAATTAAAGTATTTTGCTTTGATATAAAGAAAAAATAAAAATAAAATATTTTGCTTTAAAAAATGAGGAAAAACATAGGGATTAAAGATTTTTTAAAATTTCCTTTATAACGTAAAAAAGAATGTAACATTAATTCACTACTGCATGGCAGATACTATGTTAAGTGATTTACATTTGTACTTATATACTCTTCATGACAATTATGTTAGGTAAATACTAGTATGACTGCTTTGCATACGACAAAACTGACTCCTGGAAAGGGAAATAAACTCAAAAAGTGTGGTATAGTCTGTGATTGGATGAGACTTAAAAGGCAATTGCTTTACAAGAAAAATAGATTTAAAAGGTTTAAGATGGTATACGTTTATATACTTATCCTTCTTCCTGTATATACTGGGGCCACAAAATTTCTATATACATTTTGGGAAAAATAGAATTATATATTATTAATATATAATAGTAATTATATACTATTAATGTATAATTTTAAATAAAAATAATTTCATAAATAATAAAATAACTATAAGTGTGTTCTGACTTGACAATTTTTTTTTTTTTTTTTTGAGGCAGAGTCTTGCTCTGGAGTGCAGTGGCGCAATCTCGGCTCACTGCAACCTCCATCTCCCAGGTTCAAGCGATTTTCCTGCCTCTGCCTCCCGAGTAGCTGGGATAACAGGTGTTTGCCACCATGCCTGGCTAATTTTTTGTCTTTTTAGTAGAGACAGGGTTTCACCATCTTGGCCAGGATGGTCTTGATCTCTTGACCTCGTAATCCACCCGCCTCGGCCTCCCCAAGTGCTGGGATTACAGGTGTGCACCACCACGCCCAGCCAGCAATTTTATTATTTATGAAATGTTGAATTTATATGTTGAATTATTACTATCACTTTCCAAAAAGTAAGTTTGCTCCAGGAAGCAATTCATTATTATTTTTTAGCCCCTTAAGCTTTGAAATATTTTTTCAATATGTTTGTAATATTCTATAAGCCATATATAAAAGAAACCTTTCATGAGTAAGATATGCATATCTGTTATCATCCATGTGCTAACCCACAATTCCTACAGAAAAGTATTCTATTTAAACATAACATAAACTCTGTAACTGAAAACCAAAGAAACAATGACTATAACAGTGAGCATTAGAGCATGCCCTTAAATAAACATATAATCCAATAATTCAGTGGGTGTCTATTTTATAAATGAAGAAGAACAAATGTTGAGAGGAACACAGTTTACAATATAATATACAGTAGAGCTGTCACTTTAAGCTACACATAAAAGCAAAAGTTACTAATTCTTACCATCCAGAAGCAAATACATATTCAAAGAAGAAAAACGTGTAAAGGTGATGTCTACCAAGCTTTCTATGTTCAATGTAGAACATTTTAATAAAAAGCCTTGAAGTTAGAAATGGTTCTGCCAGTCAAAAGAGAAGGAGAGCTCCACAAATTTTTTTTTTTTTTTTTTTTTTTTTTAGACAGAATTTCTGTCTGTCACCCAGGCTGGGGTGCAGTGGTACTATCTCAGTTCACTGCAACCTCTGCATCCTGGGTTCAAGCAATTCTCCCGCCTCAGCCTCCCAAGTAGCTGGGACTACAGGCACGCCCACTACACCCAGACAATTTTTTTGTATTTTTAGTAGAGATGGGGTTTCATCATGTTGGCCAGGATGGTTTCTATCGCTTGACCTCATGATCCACCCGCCTCAGCCTCCCAAAGTGCTGAGATTACAGGCATGAGCCACCGCGCCCAGCCCATAAATAAGTTTTTAACTAAATTCTAAACAAACCAGAATTACAAAAGCTACAAATATTACTGATTTCTGTTTATTTAAATATGTGTTAGAGAGGAAATTAGTAGCTTTGTTTTCTGTAGGATAATAATACATAATATTAACGTGTCTTTTTATTTATGAAGACATTTTGCAGTTTGGTTGACAGTCTCTTGAATTATGCTCTTTCCAGCTAGGTTCTGTATAAGCATGAATATGAAGCACTATTATGTCTCATGATCTAAATAAAAACTCTTTCTAATGCAATATTGTGGGGTTTGGTGTTACTGATGTAGTTATTTTACATTTTGAAGGTTGTTTTTAAAAATTATGCTAGCAGTGGCCAGGCACAGTGGCTCAAACCTATAATCCTAGCACTTTGGGAGGCCTCTGTGGTTGGATAACCTGAGATCAGGAGTTCAAGACCAGCCTGACCAACATAGTGAAACTTTATGTAATCAGTGACTCTTAACTCTTGCTCCAAAAGGAAGTTAACATTTGTAGTCTTAAAAGATTGTATATAAAAAAAAGCAAAACAGAAACAAAACATCTTTTAGAACTTCTAGTCCATCTCTAATGACTAACTCTCCATCATATATTTTCATCCATTTAGATTGTAAATGTTAGCAGTGTACCTTGTTGTTCATTTTGCCTGGAAGGAGCCATAGCAAGAGTTGAAGATCTACAGTGATTCATGCTCAATCATTTGGTTATATGGTTGGGGAATGGGAAGAAACACAACAGGAAAATTACTGAGGAGGTCTGGAGGATGGGCATGTGGATAGACCTTCCTGCAGGTGTACAAAATGTAAAGATATCTGTGCCTTATGTGAGTGTCTACCAAAGAGCAACCTCTGCGTAGGAGGAGCTTTAGAATCAGGTGGACAAGATGTCCCATTCTGTGGACTTCAGTCAGCCTCTTTCCCTATCCATTTGTGTCCAAAGGGCCTACAGATGAAGTGGCCATGGCAGGAGGGATGGAAGCTATGCACGGCCTTTAATTCACTAAGGCTGATCTGGCTAGATCCACGGCTGAGTGCCCAGTCGGCCATAGAAGAAACCAACGAGCCTACAATATGGCACTATTCTATAGTCCAGTAGGCACTTTTTTTTTTTTCTTACCTCCAAACTTTTTATTGGCTTCCTGCTCCCCAAAGGGT